CTGCAGCCTTGGCAGCCAGTAGGGAGGAGCTGAGTCAGGGTCTCACCACCTCCTGCCACCGCCCCCGACCTTTTCCATCTACTAGCAAAGGACACTCTGTCTCTCATCCTCTTCCTTAGCAATCCCAGCAGCCCACAGGGCGCACACACTGTGTCCACAGCTCCGTGCTCTGGCACCCACATGTGCCCTCGGGGCCATGTCCCCCAAACTGCCAGAGACCCCAGGATTCCCCATTGACCTCTCCCACCCCCACCCCGGCCCCCGGAAGAAGGCAGTGTCTGCTGGAATTTTTTTTATTTAAATAAAATATACAACTCGGCGCATTTACCGTTTTCTGTTTTAAAAGTGGAAGATTCAAAAATTGCTTGTGGGGCCGGGGATAGGAGGGCCCACTGACTGGACCCCCTTCCTCGGGTTCTGCGGAGTGGCTGGGCTAGGTCGGAGCTTTTATAAAATGCGTGTGTAAGTAGAGAAGAGGGCGGGTTGGCCAGGCCCTGACAGCAAGGGGGCTCCTGGCTCCACATGCTCCTGGACCCTCCACTGCTGCAGCCCCCAGGACTAGACCGTGGGTTTACACCAAGTCTCACTGCCTTCTCAGGACTGCCTTCCTGGGTGCATGCAGAACTCAGGTGGAGTCTGCTCAAATCCTTCTGGTTCCCAGAACTTCCCAGACCCAGGGGGGCCTCTCCAGCCCAGTGGAGATGAGGCCAGGAGGCTCCTAACCTTTACACAGGATCCCAGGACCCTCCGCCTGCGCCTCTCCCAGATGACTGCTTTCTGCTCCCTGCAGCCCACCTATGGGGCAGCCAGCCCGTCTCACATCCCGGGTCAAAGCCTGATGGTAGCAACACCCTGGCTTGGAGCATGGAGGGTTCTGAATGGACAAGGGGGACCCGCCCTCCTCATTATTTGGTATTGTTGCCACATCTCCTGCCCTACAGGCAGGGGGCAGACCCCTGACTGTGGCTCTGGTAGCATCCTCCTGGGGGGATGTTCATGCCCCAGATAGCTTCTAGTCTGCGTTCCCCTCCAACCCCCAGCCCAGGGCCTGTGTAAGGCTCCCCATGGCCTTCAGAACCAAGGCCAGCCAACCCCTCAGCCTGGCATCCAAGCCTTCCCTCTGATCCCTCAGCCTGAGGATCCCCTCCCACAGCCCCCTCCACTCCCCATTCAGCTCTGCATCCTCCCCACTCACTCCCCCCCACCTCTCTCTCCCTCTAATTGCCACAGCTCAAGGCCTGGCTCAAGCCTGCCACTGGCCACACTTTCCTCGGGCCCCGAGGGAGGCCCAGCCACCTCCTGAATCCTGAGATTTTAAGTCTTGGAGCCCTCAGCCAAAGCTTCCTGGGCTCTCGCCATAGCTCACTGGAGCAATAGGCCAGGCATATGAGGGGGCGTGCAGAAGAATGTGATTTATTGAGCACCTACTATGATATGTGCCAGGCGCTGGGCTGGGCATCGCACATCTACTGTTTCTCATCTGGTCCTCATAGGCCCCTGTGAGGCGATGCCGTCCTCATTTCCGTTTTACAAATGAGGTAACAGACTTAGGAAGGTCAGATAATTTGTCCCTGGTCACACAGCTAAGAAGTGGCAGGGCTGGGATTCAAGCCCAGGCCTTGTTGCGGCCAAGATCTAGTCTCTCCCCTCCGCACGATTCTTGGGGAACCTCGACCTCAGCCCCTCTCAATAGTTTTCTGATGGGAGGAATGTGGGCTTGGGCTTCAGGTGGGCATGGATTCGAACCTCAGATCAGTCCCTGCTCTGTCCCTCCTAGCTATGTGATTCTGAAAGCAATCCCAAAGTTCAGTTTTCTCATCTGTGAAATGGGGAGAACCAAGGTACTGACCTCACAGTTTTTGTGAAATTAAAGGAGTTAATGTATGTAAAGTGCAAAACCAGTGCTTGGCACAGACAGACTCAATAAATAGATGGTCTCCTCACCTCCTGCTGTACAGATGGGGAAACTGAGGCCCACAGAGCTGGCAGGCTGTGCTTGAGGCCCTAGGAGCAGAGAGTCTTCAGCTTCCATGTGATGAGAGGTTGGGCCGGTTCTGGACGTGAGACCAGAGATAAGGAGAAAGGGGACCTGCTGCGAGGTCCTGAGGACCCTCTTCCCTGAGGACCGGAGAGAGGCCTCCCCCGGACCACGCTGTGCCCAGCTTGTGGGCCAAGGCAGGCCGCTGTGTGTGAGGTGACACGGGTGTCCTGGCAACACGGGGTGAAACTAGGGTGCATACATGTGTGCACATGTGAGAGGCTATCTACATGGCTCTGCAGAGCGCTACATAGCTATACATATACACATCTTACATACATATACATGTTCATATACATATCTTGCTGCATGTACAGTAGAAAAAAACACAAGGCCCTCGGGGCCCTGGCCTGTGTCTCCCAAAGGACTCAGGCAGCCGAGGCTCCCCAGACACACTCCAGGGCAGCACGAGATGGGCCTCCTAGCTGAATGGGGCTCCAAGTTCAAAGCCAAGGAGCAGGGGGCAGCTATTGCTCTAAATAAGTACAGTGACATGTCTGCCCTGGGAACCCCAAACGCTGCTTGCCCCACCCCTGCCCAGCCCTGGAGACCCCACCTGGTTCCCTCTGGCTTCTGCGTGTGGGTCCTGCCTGCTCCCCTCCCCCTCCCTCCCTCCCTCTAGTGCTGAGTATTAAAATAGTCTATAAAAGCAAGTGACCAAAAATCTATAGCTCTAAGAATACCTGGTTATTTTCTGCTGTCTTTTGTTTTTCTGGTGTGTGTGGTTTTTTTAAAATGATAATTATTATTGTTATTGGTATATCTCCTAATCACAGTTAAACCTGAAGGAAGAAAGAAGGGAGAAAAAAGGAGAGAGAGGAGGGAGGGGTGGCCCAGCTCATAGGTTGGACGGCAGTTTGGAGCGCACTGGCTCAGACCTGGCCCCCGGTTCTCTCTGGGGTGCAGCAGTCAGAGGGGGTCCCCCAGAAGAGGCGGCTCTTGCCCCAAAGAAAGAAAGAGGGGGTGGCAGAGAACCTGAGGATGTCTTCCGAGGCAGAGTGACGTGCTGGCCAGGGATGGCACCATAGGGCCTCCCGGGCAGGCCGAGGCCCCCGCTGCCTCCGCCACCGCCCCCGGCCCTGGGGAAGAGCGGGAAGGCAGCCACAGACTCCCCTGAGGAGTGTGGGGAGGCTCTACGGAGAGTCTGTGCCCCGTCCTGGGGCAGGGCGGGCTGAGAGGCGGAGATGAGCTTGAGGTCCTGGGTGAGGCGGCCTGGGGTGAGTGGGGGTGTGCCCCGGCGCTGGGGGACTTGGGGTGGTGGGGGGCTGGATGCCGGAGGCAGGAGCAAGGAGCTATGAGAACCAGAGGCCCGGGGTGGGGCGCTTGGGAAAGTTCTCGGGGGGCCGGGGCTGTGGCCAGGGGGGCTGAGGCCTCCCCGGGGGGGAAAGGTGACAGGGGAAGCCCCCCCAGAGGCCCCTGCCATGAAGGCTGGCTGCTCAGGCTGCCTCAGAGGAGTTTCTGGTGTGCTGGGCGGGCCAGTGGCCAGACCTGGGGACAGCTCCCCAGGAGGCTGGCCCAGCTGCCCAGGGCTGGACAATGGGGACCTGGATGAGGGTGGGGGCGGCAGGAAGTGCTCCAGGAGTCCCAGGCCCCCCCGGGTCCCCGGCAGCGGGGGTGGCG